TTTAAACTCAAAGAAAAATCTCAGGGAGAACTTATGACAGAGAAGATTCTACTATTCTTGGGGGGGGTGTGTGTGATTGGTTTTTCTTCATGTTTCTATATTATGTTAGTTTTGAAAAAGAGAACACACACAGCTTTAAAATTACTCCTGCCTCAGTATAACTTTGTTTCCAGAGCCATCAAAGGATCCTTAGAGTAAACAAGGTATGTGTGTGTGAGTATTATTCTGTATTTTTCATTTTCTTTCTGGTAAATCTGCATGTGCGTTTGAAGGATAAAGTTAAATATTTACCCTAGGTCAACCATCCCTGTCTGCAGAGTTTATATTTTGTTGGAGTTTGGGCAAGCAATTGGTATTTGCAAAATTCCTTGCCTGCCACTGCTATTAGAAAACGCATTTACAGATGACTATTTTTTTTTCCTACTCAGAATAGTTTTGATCAGGTGTGAGCACTTACCTAGCCTGGAGGAACACTGAATCAACATGTGACACTGTGGTAGGATTGTGTTTGGGACTGTGTTATTTCAGTTGCTGGCCATGAACCTAAATGAAGTCAGACCAGAGCGATATTCTTTGGCTCTGTCATCACAGGAGGCCAGTTGGTTTTCTTTTTGTGTTTACAGATGTCTTGAAATCTGGCTCATTCTGGTAAATCCAGGTAATTATGCATGGGTGGCTCATCCTGCATCCAGCTTGCAATGAGGTGAGCAGGCCAGGGGCACTGGGAAGAGCCAAGGAACACATCTCATGTTCCTCCCAGATGCAGGGAGAGGGGATTTCTGCAATGGGCCTGGAGTCTGTCCAAAGTGCTTGGCATCCCAGGCCCAACAAAGTCTTCTTGCCAAACTAAAGTCTGCATACCAAGAAAATGCTCTAGGCCTTCCTGCCTCAGTTTACATGCTGTGGCTCTTCTGAGGACTTCATTTTGCTCACTAGAAAACAGGATCTCTCCCATGTGCTCTTTATGAACCCTCCTCATAAAAAGGCCACACTGTAATAAAGCCCCTTAGGGCACTGCAGGATGCCTAGCACATCTCCATTGGGACGTTTGGGAGCACCTTTATTCTCTTGAAAAACATGACTATAAAATGCAACCCCTTCCTGCCCTCTTCCCTTTCATCTTGTTCCATCCTCCCCACCATGCCTTTGAGGCATCAGTCTTCAAACTACTTCAAATCAAAGCAGTTGCAGCAGATGACTCATGGATGACATCTCAAAGCCTGCTGATGTTTCTATTGGGTCTCCCAAGAACAGAGAGCAAACAGCAGCCAGACCCAAAGAAAAAAGCAGCAGATGACCTTGCCAGGCTTAGGAAGAGGGAAACAGCAGGAGGAAGAGGGGAAAGCAGAGGTGGCACAATGAGTGCTCTCTGCACTCCTGCTGCTATGCAGGTTTGTAGGAAATGTGGCCTCAGGGCAACTCTAACCTGTGCCAAGTGCTGAGACTTGTATGTATCAGGCATGAGACTCAGGGAGCTGCAAACAGTTCTTTGAAGGCCTTCCTCTCCTCCCCTAGCAAAGAAATTCAAATCTGATTTCTTCCAGTCTTTGCTTTGACCTTCCGCAGGTGTGGAAAACAATCGCCTCTCTTTCCTAGGGGCATTGAAATCCTTCATTTCCAGGAGGCAACAGCTAGGTTACATAGATCCTACTATAAGTGTCCATCTGCACTGATGCAGATGAACAGGTGAAGGTGAAGCATAGAAGGGAAGGACTTGGCTCCCTTACAGCCATTAAGATTTTTTCACTCCTTCCATTGAGGCTGGAATTTCAAATACCTACCATCAAATACTGTTTTCAAGTTGAATTTGACTGGAAAACAGCATGACATCTTCCTTCCTGGGCCAGTGGTAAAAACTATATTGGCTGTTTTTTCACTGAAAGCAAAAGGATTTTTGAAAAATTTATACAAAAGTGGATTTTTTTTCTTGTTGTTTTGTTGTTGTCTGTTCGTGATCCCTCTGCTGATTTCTGGAGGAAGCACCCTAGCCCTAAGCAAGTGAAAGCCACTTAAGCCAAAAAAAGCATCTTCAAATTCCAATAGGGCAAGTCAAAATCCCTAATTTAGAAGCATCAGCGGGGTGGACATTGGAAACATGCAGACTCACTCACTGGAAAGCTCCTAAGATCTACAAGCACTGAAATGAAAACATGACACAATGGATCAGTCAATGATTACTACTGAATAAGCCAGCGGGCTTCAAGGTTAATCACTGCAGCCATCCATGAACTCTCACAGGGTAGAAAACCAGTTAGCTTTGCCTAGAACGTCTTTGGGATGATGCCCATTTGTATGGTGGGAGGTTCATGTGCTCTGTTGTCTTCTTGATGGCAAAAGAGATCATCTTTTGTCATCTGGAGATATGTCAAGAGAGGAAAGATAACTGTTTGGATCAGTATTTGAATCAAAAAAATCAAGAGGGGGGGAAAAAAGGAAGGGGGAACTGGAAGGGATTCTCAGGGTGTCATTGACCAGGAAGTTTAACACCAGCATCCCTGTCATTGTTGGACACAAAATGATTTACATAGACACCGCTCGATGTGTGGTAAAGGAAGAAGAAGCAGCTTTATTCTGTCATTTCAGTATTTATAGATTCTTGACAATGACCAGGGATTGGATAGTCAGGTTACCACCTTCCCAACCACACTGGTTGTAAGAAACGTCCATCAAAAGACATATCTTTAATGGAATGTATAAACATCTATGTTTATAGTTACTTTCCTGGGAAAGTGTTTAGAAACTATGAAAACAATGTCAGAAAGCTTGATTTACAGGGTGACACATCCCTATGTCAAAGTGTTCTTTTTGAAGGGTTGGCTGTCACCAAACAGCCTCAGCATGGGTTAAAGAACTTTGACTGGGATCTAAATTTCTGGAGGTGTGTGTTCCCGCAGGTGACCCGGCTGTTCTCATGGCACTGCTTCTGAGCAAGGTCAGTCCCACAAGGACATGGGGGGGATACTCCAAAAGAAAAGGAGTCTACTGTCATATGGTGGAAAAGGTTCTGTGTTAGTTCTTGCTCTGGTTTCATACATGTGCTGCTGTCAATGACTTTTCTAATTTAATGCATTCTTGTTTTTGACACTTTCCTGAATTTCTCCCCTTGCTTTCAGTTTGCACAAGGGAACAGTATTTATGTTTGTTGTTAAGTTTTAGAATTGTTTCTCAACTGAAACAAGGAATAGATTTCTGTATTTTTATATTTATCTTATAATTTTCTGTTGTAATTTCTGCTTTTGTCTTCCCCTTTTCATGGGTAAATGGAAAGAAAAAGGGATTAGATCAGGAGAGAATTGCAAGGAAAAATGCAGAGAAAAAATGGAGCATGACACAAGTTCACATTTTTACAAGGAATGCTCTGAAAATATTAATAAAAAACTATTTTAGAAATGCTTCTGATGGAGAAAAAAACAATTACATTGGACAATAACTTGTTTATTATACACATCTGCAGAAAAATACTCAAACCCTATTTTAAAAGATCAACATAATTCTTTATTCCTTTTGAGGTTTGTGGAATTATATGTCTTTAAAAGTGTTTGCAGACTTGTTTTCCTGTTTAGTCTTTGTTTCCTATCTCTGCTGATTTGATGGGACATTGATTCACAAACTTCCACAAACCAAGTGTTACTCAAAAGGAAAGTTATCAGGAAAAAAATACAAAATCAATAAGAACGTGCTGGTATCATGAGTCTAATTTCAGTGTGAGAGTGAATCATGAATTTTCATCAATCTCTAAAGTGGATGGTGGTGGACACAACTGCTTGTTAGTGGTGTTGTTACCTATTTACACACAGACAATTCCCAGGAGCTCCAGCTGTAGTATAACGATCTTCAGGTCTATCCACGAGATTAGAAAACAGAAAAGTCTTATTAAATCAGGATTATTGTCCCATTGCACCCTGTCAGTCTCTTTAATTAGCACAGTCTACTCCAAAAGCAGATGTATGGTTGGTTGTTTTCACAGCGTGTTTTCTGCTAGGCTGTGCTTTGCTGATGTCAAGGGAATGAACTGAAACGGAGCCCCTGACCGAGTCCAAACACCAGCTGGAGCTCCTGGAAGTGCCCTTGTGAGCAAACATGACAGTAGCGCACCCACGGAGCTCTTGTGGGTTTGAAAGCCCCAAGTGCCCTTTATCAGCCCCATGTATTGTCACAGACATCATCTGTTCTGCAGAAAACCAGCTTGTGTGGTCAGACATGGGTTTCCTCAAGGAAGGGTGCTCAGAGTCCCTGTGTCCACGTCACCCTGCCCCTGATGAACCCACGGACCTGCTGAATGGCTTTGACCGTGCGGACAAGGGACACAGACACAACTTGTCCTGGTGCAGAGGATGGCTCCTGCCACCATGAGAGGTTCCTGGCAAGGAGAGGGGGTCACTGAGGGCACATGTGTCCCACTAATGGGGACAGCGTGTGAGTTGTGAAGACATTGAGGGGGTCTCTGAACGGACATGTGTGCTGTTGGGAACACTGATGGGGATGTGTGAAAACCACGGGGACACTGAGAGGGACATGTGGGAGCCCTGGGCACGCTGAGGGGACGTGACTGAACCATGAGAACATGGAAGGGGGCATGTGTGAGCTGTAGGGCACACTGAGGGGGCAGGTGTGAACTGTGGGGACACTGCAGGGGTGTGTACGAACCATGGTGATACTGAAGCGGGACAGTGAGGGGACACGTGTGACCCCGGGGACACTGAGAAGACCTGATTGAGGGGACACGTGTTAACTATGGGGGCACTACGGCGGTGTGTATGAACAATGGGGATGTTGAGGGGGGACAATAGAGGGACAAGCGTGACCCACAGGAACACGAGGGTGGGCGCTGTGGGGACACTTGTGAGCTCTGTGACACCGATGGGGACGTGTGTAAATACTGGGGAGACACGCGTGATCTCTGGGACACCACGAGGACACGGCGAGGCCTCCGCGGCACTGCAGGGCCTGACAGCGCCCAGGCGCGGGCCGCGAGGGCAGTGCGGGCCCTGAGGGCGGTGATGGCGCGGAGCCAACCCGGGCCCGCCGGCGGGGAATGGAGGCGGGCCGGGGGCACGGTGCTCCCTCCCCCGGGCGGGGCCGGCACCGCTCCCGGGCCGGGGCGGGGCGGGGCGGCCGCTCAGTCCGTGCCTGGAGCGCCGCACGATAGCGGCACACGCGGAGCCGCCGTTCAGCGCAGCATGGAGGAGGCGGCGGCGGGTGAGGGCAAGGCGGGCCACGGCCGGAACGGCCACGCCGAGGGCCCGGCGGCGGAGGAGCGGCAGGGCGGCGGGGCCCAGCTGCGGGGCTGCCGTGGGTTCCTGCGGCGGAACGCGCTGGTGCTGCTGACGGTGTCGGGGGTGGTGGCCGGCGTGGCGCTGGGGGCCGCCGTGCGCGGCGCGGCGCTGAGCCCGGCGCAGATCTCCTACCTGGCCTTCCCCGGGGAGCTGCTGCTGCGGATGCTGCGCATGGTGATCCTGCCGCTCGTCTTCTGCAGCCTGGTGTCGGGCGCCGCCAGCCTGGACACCCGCTCGCTCGGCCGCCTGGGTGGCATCGCGCTCGCCTATTTCCTGGGCACCACGCTGCTCGCCTCCGGCCTCGCCGTAGCCCTCGGCTTCATCATCCGTCCCGGCGCCGGTGCCTCCGCGCTCAACACCCAGCTGGGGCTGTCGGGCGCGCTGCCCCCCAGCAAGGAAACGGTGGACTCCTTCCTCGACCTCATCAGGTGAGGCCGCTCCGCTCCCCTCCTTCCCCCGCCCTCCCGCTGCTGGAGGATGATGACAGACCCGGCAGTGTTGCACGCTGCAGCCGGGAAGCCCTCCTCCCCCTTCTCAGCCTCCTTCATCTTCTTATCCTCCTGCATCTTCTCATCCTCCTGCACCTTCCCCTCATTTTTCTCCTTCTCAATATCCTTCTTTATCTCCTTTATCTTGCTATCCTTCTCATCCTAATCCTGGCTTCTCCAGAAGCACGGCTCTCTGCCCAAGTACCCGCAGCCCGGTCAGGTGTAGGGCTGCATGGTGATCTGCTTCTCCCCGTTTTGTTTTTCGTTTGCCTCGGTGGCTGCAAGGATGAGTCGAGGCTTGCTCAGAATTCTGGGTGCCCAGGCCCGTTTTTGGTTCCGCCTGGAGGGAGAGCAGCTCCTGGGTGCTGGCTGCAGGGCAGGCTTTGCCTGGCTCCTTCCCCTGCCCTGCTACCTGTTGTTGCCTGTCTCCTGCAGGCAGGGCAGGGTTGGGCAGCTCTTCTCATCCCTCACACACACCTTTTTCTTTAATTCTCCAACATTTTACTCAGTCTCCTCACCCAAATGCCTTTCTGACCCTTTGAGTGTCCTCCCATAGAAGTGGGAGAGGAAACACAGCCCTGTAATTCCATGGAGGAATCGTCCAGTGTGAGGATGCTCTGTGGGTTTGTGAGCTTCCTATCCTACCTCTGCATCTTGCAAAGACAAGACTTGCATTATCAAAATCTATCAAACAAGGCTTCCACTTCTAATCAGATGATAGTGTTTTTGTGTATCTTTACTCGTCCTTGCCAAGTAGCAGACTTCACCTTTTCTGTTTTTCCTCAAAGTCCATGTCTTGTTGAGATCTGTCTGGCTTTTTTAATAAGATAGGAGCACACAGAGAAACGAGGCAAGCATCCAGATGGTGCTATGAGTATTGGGCTTCCAACTGCATTTCCTTGTGCTTTGTACCCAGGTACAAACACAAGAATAAGGGAGGTGACCTGTGTCACAGCAAAGTAGCTGAGAAAGTTGAGTTGATAGTGGATATCCTGGTAGTTACAAAGCTGAGTGGGTTTGTTTGTTTGTTTGTTTGTTTTTATTTTGATTGTTTGCTTTGCTGTTATCAGTCCAGTTTTTCAGCTGAGATACTCTTTTGCGTTTTTGTCTGGATAAGTGGATGTGGCAACAGAGATAAAAAGACTTTTTTTTTAAAAAAAAAAACAACCCCAAATCCAGAACTGTATTTACAAATTCGGGTTAATGTCCTTTTCTCCCCCTGAGACAAGTATGTTCCCTTTGGACAGAAAGTAAGTCTGGTTTGTTCCACTGGCAGTCATGTACTTAGTGTCCTCAGCTCACCTCTCCCTCTCTTAACTAACAATTAAAGACCTTTCTTAAGGACCAGCAATTCCTGACAGCATGTTAAGAAGGAATAGCAGGACGATGGGAGTAGGTAGTCTGGCTGTGGTGGTGATATGTTGTTGAATGGAGGGGAGGGAGGTGAAGGAAAATTGCAAAAAAAAAGGAGTAGGCACACCTGGGAGAGTTGGGAAAATGTCTGTAGTGGTGGCTGTCCCAGCGCATTCTGGCGTGGCTGCTGTACCTGGTGTTACATCCCTGTGTCACCTGGCAGCATGGAGTAGGAGTTGAGGAACAGGCCAGGGGTGTTCCAGTGAGCTTCAGGCTCTGGGTAATATCTAAAGTTCAGAGCAGACAGCTGTTTCTTGGTCTGCTTTGTGAATGCAGGTGTAGAGTTTATCTTCAAAGGGGTTATGATGGCGATAGGATTGAGTCCCTAATTCCAAAGTAGGGCTCATAATCATGAGACTTGGGTAAAGCATGGTGGGTTGCAAAGGAATTTCCTTCAAGGAGATGAGGAGACAGGAACTTTTCCCCACTGCACTTATGGGGCGCTGTGAATACAGATTTTTCTCGGAACCCCAGGGGAGTGCTGTTGCAGCCACACTGTTGAGCAGTCAAGTTGTTACAGCAGTGACAGTGAAATCCAGTCCAGAAAAGTTGTGTTTGGACAATCAGCCATCACTAAAACTTTCAGTCTTAGCACAAATCCCTGGCAGACTGAGGGATGGAGAGAGTATGTGATTTTCAGGAAATAAGCGCGCTCTCTCTCTCTCTCTCTGCCGTGTAATGTTATTTTTTTAACCATTCTCGTAAACGTGGGTGTTTTGGTTTGAGCGCTGAACTTGGTCCCTGCTGTGATGGAACTTAGTTAGTGGAGTAACCTCATCTTGAGATAACAAAGCCTTGATTCTATAGGGCCTGGAGGGTTAAAATGATTGATCTTTGCATGGGTGGGTCTTGCAGCATCCTGCTCTGTGCTTCTCCTTTTGTCTCCTTTGGCCATGAAACTTTCTATTAGATGCAAGAAAACTGTTTCAGTTGTGGCACAAGGCTGTGTCCTTCAAGGATTCGCTGCTGCTTGGTTTCAGAGGAAAGGTAAAAATGAGTTGCAAATGGGTAAACTGAGTGCTCCTAGAGCACTGAAGACCAATGTAAAACATGACCCAAGGAAGAAACAGCAGAGGAAATCACAGCTGTGTGTCACTGTTTGGTTCTGCAGATCACTTCTGTCTTTAGGAAGTCTATTAGGTAATGACCAAAGATGTTGCTTTTCATTGTCACAGTGATGTCTGGAGGCCAGCTTACTTCTTGGTTTTCCTTTTTGAAGTCTAAAGCTTCCCCACAAACAGGTGTCTAGGCATGGAGAAACGACTTCTGGGAAAAAGATATATCTTGGGCTTTGGTATCAAATGAATGATGACTCACTGGTGAACCCAGAGGCTGTCTGTTTTATTTTGTCCATCCACCATAACCTCAAGGTCTGATTTGTCTGGCTGGAGGTGCTGGAGCACCCTCCTGGTTTTCCTTCTGGCAAGTGCTAGAGGCAAGTGAGCCTTGAGCATGTCTAGTCAGGGTTTAGGCATGCTGTCCTCTCCCCCAGGACATGGGGTGGGGACAACAGAGATGTCATAAGGTGCTTTTAATCCCTGCAGCATGGATGCTGATGGCTCATCTCATCTCAAATCTGTCATGTGGGCAGCTCCTTGGAGCTTCCTAAAGAGGAGCATGGCCAAAGGCAGTGATCATGGGAGGGAATCAAGAGTTCACAGCTACTTCCACAAGTAAAATAACTGTAATAAAAGCACCTAGAAAGTGGGGTGTTCCCTGAACTCAAGGCAGGATCTTAGAATTCCTTAAATCTGTTGGCAGAAGATGAGGGGAGTGAAGGGAAATTTTAGAATTTCTGGGTTTTTCCCTTACTCGTTTATTTGAGGGAGAAGATAAAGTGATAAAGAGAGCTCATAAGCTTGATTGTGAAGTGGTTGGCAGCTGGAGGAAGGGGCTGGCTGGGATGTGGTGGGCTCTGGAGCTCAGCCACCACCTGAGAAGGTGACAGTTTAGAGAGCCAGCTTGGCTCTGCTTATGCCCAGCATGTAACCAGGGAGAGGGAGTCCCAAGGTTGGGACTCCAACCACCTGCTCACACAGCCCATCTGCAGCTTGTTGGAGTGCTGTTGAAACAGCAGGATGAAGTGTTTTGCAAGAATCTATTGATTTGTTAACACTTTTGATGGGCAATTGTCACAACTGAATGTTTCAGTAAGGTCAGAGTTTTGTTCTAGCTCTGATTTATATTTGCTGATTCAACAAAATTGAACAGTTTTCACAGGAGCCTATTGATCCTGCCAAAATTTCTGTCAGTGGGTGATCGTTTCAGTGAGGTCAAAAGGACTTAAGCAGAAAATCTCACTCATCAAAAAAGGAACACTTCAACAGAGTATTTTACAATTTATTTTTAGTGGAAAAAGGGATCTGAAACAGGCTTTCTTTGTCCAGTTTTGGGATGAAAACATGTTTTGCAACTGTGGAATTTGCTATGGGGAAGGGAATTCTGTTTTTAATCCAACCTTAGCTATAAGAGTCCAGGAAGGTAAGGAAGTAATCCCCCCTTTTTTTTTGTAGGAAGAGTGCACAGAGGTCCACACGTCTGCCCCAAGCAGTAAGGTCAGGGTTTCCCAGTTTGCCAGGCAAGTCTGCAAAAGCTGTTTAAATTTCATTGCTTCTCAATGCCCTCTCTGTCTCTCTGTCAGATGTTAGCAGCTGAGCTGCCAAAAGGAGCACCCACAGCAAGCTCATGCCTTTGCGCCAAATGTCTTCAGAGCTGTAGGGAAGGCAGACATGAGCACAGGGAGAAGCATCAGTCGTGTTTTGCTGTCTGGGCTGCAGAGCAGGTGGCCAGAGTGGGCCACTCAGGCAGTGACCCTCTCCTGGGCACTAGTTGCTCCAGTAGCACTTGTTCCTTACAGCCTTGGTCTTCCCAGTGAGTCATCCCAAACCAGCAAACATGAAAGCCGTCTCTGAAATCCCAATGTGGAAAACCAATAAAATGTGACTGTTAGAAGAGGAGGGGGAGATGCTGCCTTTGAATTCATAAATAGAATAAAAAGCGTCCAGGCAATGGCTGCAGTTAGGCCAAGAGACAGGCTGACCCCTTGGTTTGAAGCTGATGGCTAGTTCTTAAAGTGAAGTAACTGTCCTGCTTTGCTTGTGTCACTTTCTGAGTCTGGAATCTCTCTCAAACTACAGGGGTTTCTGACTGAGTTTTGTAGGAAGAGCTCAGTGCTTTCATTCATGTGCCTGCACTCTCTGGCAGGGCTTTTTAAGTAAGCCTGTGAACATTTCTGCTCCTTCCATTTGTTCCTTATATTTGTTGCCTTTTACTACTGACTCCTTCCAGTTAGGTTTTATTTTCCAAGAATCAAAAATACAGACTGGACCATTAAGGCAAAAAAAAGTATCAAATATCTGCTATAAGTAAACACATTTTCAAGTTTCTCTGAGTTAAAACAAATGCACACACTCACAAATATGAGTATGAGCAGGGCACGTGTTGTGCATCCACATATGAAAAATCAGATGAGGAAAATTGCTGTGTGATACTGAATGAAAATCTTGGGACAGAAAAAAAAATGAAGGTGCTGGAGGAATTCTAAGTGGGCTCTGGCATTTTGCCACAGACAGCAATAAAGTTGCTGCGAGTAGACTTGTACAATTGGAAAAAAGCCCTGAGAACTGGAGATAGTCTACAGAAAAATATTCTGTGTTGGTTTTCTCAAAAAAGTGTGTTTTTCAATAGCAAAGTCTTTGGCCTCAGAAGTGGAACCTTTTTGTAAGAAGCAATGCAAGAGGAATGCATAGTATTTTAGGGTTTCATTCCATTTGCCTGGATTTCCCTTCATGCCTTTGCTGCCAGAGCAAAGTTGTTTGCAGAGCTCTAGCAAACGAATCATTTAAAAACAGTTATTAAAAATAATCCCTTACACATACAATGGAGGAGTTCCTGTGTAATCTTCATCCTGCTGATGGAAAGATACAGGCCTGTAAAGAAGAGAGCAATTTGACCATAATATCAAAATGGAAAGGGAAGAGAATTACAGCCCCACTTTTCTCCCTTTGCCGGCTCCAGGTTCTCTTAGTTGTCTGGGATTCCAAAGAGTGGATGTTGCAGCTAAATTAAGATTTCTATTACAGCAGAAATACAGTGGGGTCTTCCTGGGGAGTAATGGTCCATTTTTGACTGGAAGGAGCAGCATTTCACAGGAAGAAAGGTGCATTTATCCAGCTGTGCATGGGGAGATGGTGTGATGAGTGCAGTATTCAAGCAGGAAATACACCCTGTAACACCTGCACTTGGTGCTGCTACTTTCTTGTTCCAGTTTTAAGAGGATCTGAGAAGAGTGCTTTCTCACCCTTTGTGTTGTGCAGTTACATGGAGGTTTCCTGGCTCAGTCCAGCTGTTACTTCAGCCCCGGGACACAGCTGTCCCCCTTGGCAGCTGTCTGATGGATTTCTGATAGGGCTTTTTTTTTGGGGCTGTCTGTGCAGCTTGCAGCAGGCAGAGAGAGGCTTTCCTGCCTGGTGCTTGGTAAGGGGAATAAAGTCTCTCTGTGCCACCTACCTCACTTTTACAGCACAAAGGAATTGGGGTCTGTGTGTGTGTGGAGTGAGGTGCTGGCCGCAGTGGAGCACCTGGGGTACAGGCAGCACATCTGTCCCCCTGCTGTGGTGTGTTACTGGCCTAGCTCGTTAGTGCCACATGCAGTGAGTTTTGTGTCCCTGCATTTGGGGCCAAGGCTGTCTGATCCCACACTGCTGTGCTGGCCCCTTATCACCCAGACCCAGGGTTTGGCCAGCGCCGTGTTCCTGTGATAATCCACATCTGCTTCAGAAAGGCAGCCGTGTTCTCTGGCAAGGGGCATGGGGCCATCAAAAACAGTCAACAATCCAGCCATACAACCAGGGTGATTTCCCTCAACTCCACATTCACATTTGATAGAGGCTTTCAAAGCACAAAAACCTTCTAAACCTTTGGTCTTCGCAGAAAAACCAACTGGCAGACACCCAGATTTGCATGCCCAATTACCCAGCTCATCAGCTTTCCTGTTTGTTGGTTCACCCTCACAGGAGGGATGTCCACACTTCCCCTGTGAGCTCCTCTGCTCACAGGGACAGAACTATTTCTGTGGTGGGTGAGCTTCACCTCACCAGGCGTGAGGAGCAAACCCTGCAGGCACAAATCCACGATGAGCCCAGGCGGATCACCAGCCAGCTTTTATCTCTCCCTGAAGCATGCAGCATCTTGCCCCATTTTTTAGGCGCTGCAGTGGTGTTCTTGCACAATTCCATCCAAAGGCAAGAACTTGTGATCTAACCCACCTGTAATTAAAGTTGAATTTAATTCACATGCTGACTGATCTTAGGTGAGCATAAGTGTAGTCTGTGCAGACCTTGTGCCTCTAAGATAAGCCATGTATTTGTAGATTGCTTTTTATGACCCGACACATTTTGGTCTTAAGCTTTGGGATTTGAAACAGAGAAGCAAAACGTTATGTTATGTGGTTTTGGTATTTTGCAGTCAGGTGTACTTAGAAGTTGGATTGAACAGAACATACAACTCTTTTCTGAGCTGCTTAAGATGCAGATTTTTTACTTGGCAAATTCTCAAGTCGGTGCTGGTGTTTCAAGTCTCAAGACTGGTGTTGGAGGAATAAAGCAAAGTGTCTACTCTAGGTTCTTTTTTAGTATTATTCACACTTGGAAGTAAGAACCTGTCCCTTGTCCTGATGTAATAGGGTTGCTGGCATCACTTAGCTATGTGCTTTAAGTATATGCTTGGAGATAAGTTAATGTTTAGTTACTGAGGCCCATGCCTGACATACTGTGCAAATTATGGAGGGTTTGGTTTCCTGGCCACATTTAAACATTGGAGAACCATGTTGTTTAGGCTTTAGGATTGCTTCCTTTGGTTTTGTTTTCATCAGGATGGAAAAGCTGATATAAAGAAAAAAAAAAAGAACTGATTTCTGGTTGGTTTTCAGTCTTTTTTCATCTCTTTACTTCTTCAAAGTCCAGTCGGTTCTTTTTTTAAAAAAGTAATCATCCTGCTATGAAAAGCTATGAAAAGAAATATCCTTCTTTTCCCAACAGCATGAGCCCATTTGTATATGTGATATTTTACTCCTGATAAAAGCAAGTTTGCTTTTACTTGACTCAAGGTTTTTATCCACCAGAGAGTTCCAGCTGTGCAAGAACTGATGTGCGTTAGCTGTTCCATTGATCTTATTTGACCAATTCTTTGGCGTCTTTGCTGAGTGAGAGCTCACTCTCCTGCTTTCAGACAGACAGCTGTATTGTCAGCTTTAGAGGAGAAAAAGTTGCTGTTTCTTTAATGCTTGGTGGAATGTAGACTCCAGAAGATAAATTATTTTTGCAGCAATCCTCCTAATACACTTGTAGTGCATCACAGAGAGAGAGAGAGAGGGGCTGAGGTATTTCACAGCAGATAGGTGTTTGATGAAGTTCCATGTCCTTTACAGTTGCTGTCAAGGCTATGGGAAGACTCCCTGTATGGCAGGAGAACAGAACCATGCAACCAAATAGACCAAAGTCCTTATCTGGGCCATATTTTAATCTCCTTCTTGCTTTCAAAGATTTGACTCTGCTGCTCCTTTTCTTGTTCTGGTTTGGATTTGCACATTCCATGCCATTCGTGGAATGACCACAACCTGGTTTAATGTCTGGGTAACTACAGCAAAAATAGGGGCAAGTTAGCAGGGCACAGCCTGGAGGGAGCTGCAGCTTCCTAGGAGCAGTGCAAAGAGCAAAGGATGGGGAGCAGCTATCCAAATGTTTTTTTACCACAATTAACTGGCTCTGGCTAAGGTCTTCTGTTTCCGTGCCATAAGAGTTCTTGTGCCTCTGGGATGCCTTCTACTGGCAGTATTTTCAGCTCATACCCATCATGTTCCTGCCCTTGCCAATTGGGGTCCTGCCATGACCCCAGAGATAAGCTTTTATTCCTATTTTCCTTTCTGACACAGAAAACCAAGAGTGGTCGTTTGGCTGGGGAAACACGTGCCCTTTGCCCATAAGGGGAAGAAGGAATTATAGCATTAAAACCAACTATAAAATACGACAAGAAGCTTGGAAGAATGCCCTTGAATTTCCTGTCTGCATCCTGTATGCAGATACATACGGGATGGTCAGAAAGAGTGTACATCACTTTACATTACATGCTGTCCTCTCTGCACTAATCTGATGCTAGATTGGCATTTCTGTGTGAAGGCACCTCTGGATTCAGATGTTCCATAGGAGTTGCCTGTACTTTCCATCTGTGTTGTGTAAGCCCTTATAGAGAAGTCTGGCCTGTGATATTGTTCTCTGCCTTGGTGATCAGGGAAGCTGGCCTTGCTGCGTTGAAGGGTTAAGCCATTCTCATAAGTGGATTTTGCTGATTGGATTGTCCTTCATGTTGATGCTGTGAGCGAAGTGTAATCACATGAGCAGTGTTAAAAACCTGACTGACACTAAGAGGCCATGAGCTGGTGCTGCAGCTGGTGTGGCTGAGCCAGTTTCTGTAGCCACAGGGCTGATGTTTAACCAGCATTGTGTGTGATTGCCTCTGGTGGCCCTGCCCAAAAGGTTAGGTGTGGTAGCAAGCATCTGTCATCTCTTTCATGTGAGCTGAGGAAGATGGCATCCACACCTCTGGACACCTAGCAAGCTCCATGTAGCTTCCGTGCTGCACACCTGAGCAGTGCCAGTGTGCCTGCCCATGAAAATGAAATGCTGTTTCTGAGAGTAAGATAAATTGGTGCATTCATTTAAGAAGTTCTCCATGACATATTTAATTTTCTTGTTTGTCTTTTACAGAAACCTGTTTCCTGCAAATCTTGTTGCTGCAGCTTTCGAAACGGTAAGATCTGTGTGGATGTTGGACATGAGCTACAATGTATAGGCTCTTTCATTGGAAGAGGACTAGAAAGATGGTGTAGAAAATACCAGAAGTTAATTTACTTATAGAAGGTAGGGTTTATAAAAGCACATTATATAGTCAGACATACTTCTTCCATGGCAAATTATTTGAAAAATATTCCTCAAAAAAAAGCATATTCAAAGCCCATCTTTTCTACCTTCACCAAAAATATTCTTTAAACTTTGGGTGCCATGTTGGGCAGCAGTGGCAATCCTGCTTTGTGCCAGGCTGCTAACCATTTTGCAGGAGCTAGCTGGGAATCCTTTGGCTATGTAGTTTAGAGCTGGGCTCAGAACAGACAAGGCTGAAGACCTCTAGGTTCCCATGTGTGTAAGCATTACCTGTTGCCTGATGGTTTTATTCAGTAGTTTCCATTGTATCCCCTGCTGGATTAATTTCTCAGCCCTGTTTCTCTTCCAACAGACTATGTGTGGTGGGATGATAGCTGCCACCAGAGCACAGTGTGGTTTAAAATTATGGATAGGAGCTGTTTTTATGTATATATATATATATATAGATATATATATGTATGTATGTATATGTATGTATGTATGTATATGTATATATGTATGTGTATTTTGATTTAGTTCTAAATGCTAATTTTAAATGTCAGGATAGAGAGTGTTGAGAATAATGTCATGGGGCAGAGTGATTCTTTATGATACAGGAGCAGAATAATAGCTTTTTGTTCTGTGGGTTTGCTTTTGTATCAAAACCAAGGGTAAACTCTTAAAATCAAGTTCCATTTTGCATGAATATATAATACAGTACAAGTCAATATTCCATGGGTAAAAACAGAAGCAGTACAAGAATAATACTATGAAAAGGATATTTTGTGATGCTTCTAGTGTCAGGGTTGTGTGTGTTCAGGGATGAAATAAAGCAGTCCTCTTTTCCTCTGTGCTGCTGTTGTCACAGGGAATTGAGAAAGATGAGAAGCTTTTCCTCCCCTCATATTATAGTTAAAGAAAACAAGCCCAAAGAGGTGCCCTGCTTTTTTGAGATGCCTAGTTTATTTATCAAAGTAAACTGTTGCCCTAGATTTTAGATGTTTTGCTGACAATTTTAATGCCTGCCTCACCATTTTTGTTTAGTTGTGTTTTTTTCCTTACTTGCAGTATGCGACAGACTATAAGATGCTGCTCAGGAACACTACCTCTGGAAATGCCACATGGGAAAAGGTAAGGTCACTTCTTAGGTTTTTAAAAAAATTGTTGTCAGTAATATTTGACTGACAACAAATATTAAGGCTGATTCACAGCCTTTAATTCTTTCCAGCACTCTTGGGAAAGAAACAAGTACTTTTCTTTGCCTAGAACTGAGACACGCACAGGCTGAATGAGAAAGCTGTGGTGGAGAGCTGAGCTCAACTGATGTGACCCATGACAATTTATTTTTTAAGGTCATGCCTTCTTAGACCTGGTCTCACTTGATCTAAACAGTCTGCCTGATGTTTCCAAATAACTTTCTGTAGACTTGGAACTAAATAGCAATCAGGCTGGCTGGGTATGTCCCTTAAACCTTATTCTTCATTAAGAGTTTGGAGAGAATGAGTTTTTTCCCTCTACCCAAGGCTCTTTATAAAAATAAAAAAGAGATTTGTTGGGTTGAGAATTTTTTTCTCATTGCTGAAATTTTGTTTTAAGCAGTAACAAATGTATCATTCTGGCTGATACATCAGTATCAGATGCTGGGTTAGTACATTTTTAATGTGATTTGAAGTCCCCCAGGGCAAGAGACTTGTAATGTTTGCATTTGACATAGAAGGGCTCAGCTGGGATTTGCCCACCAGTTTGTAAAACCATCAAGTAAAAAGCAGTTTATGCTCACCCAGAGGGACTCTGGAGCCTATCCCAGAGCACAGGAAGCATTGGCTTCATTACCTTTCCTCCCCATGCGTGGTGTGTGAGCAGGTGATGCAGAACAGTGTTTGTGAACTCTGCTTCCAGCCCTGGGCTGAACTTTCACCTACCCTGGGGATGGGGTGACAGGTGACTGGGATGACACAGGAACTGAGCAGGGGAAAAGGCTATGCCTGGCTTGAGAGCCTGGCATCACAGGGTGAGCAGCTCCACTGGGGAAGGAGGCAGCTCCCCCTGCCCGTGCCTGTTGGATGGCATTAGCCCAGATCCGTAGTCACCCTGTGTGACAGGGATGCAGTCAGTGACTGCAGAATCCCAAAAGAGCACTTTCTCTCTCTGTGCCCTCAGGCAGGGCATGGCCCTGCAGCTTCCTGCTGTGAAACACATTCGGTATGAAAGGCTGTAGCAACGTGCCCTTAGATTTGTGTGCTTGTTGCAGAGTGCAGAGTTATTTGACATTTAAGCAAGGGTAAGTGAAAGGAGAGTAAATCTTTTATTTATATTCACTCTCAAGTTTGATGTGGGCTCTGTAACGACCAAGCACAGATTAAGGCTAACCATATCCATTGGATAGAGTGCTGGCTGTCAAGTACTTTTTTTGATGCTTGTTCAACAACATCACTTTTCCGTAAGAGATAAGAATGCATCCTTTGGCCCTTTAAAATGCAACATCATTTTTTCATTTTTCCTCTTTTTCCTGCTTATCAGTCTCTTGTTTGATGTAACATCAGAAAAAATATTCTGAATTTGCCATTGGTGTCTGTTTTTGCCAAGAGTTGTGATGATGTAAAGGTTATTTCTACTATTACTTTTCCAAAACCTTTTTTAAGTTGTTGGAGCAAAACCACACTGAGCTTCTTTAATTCCAGAAGACGCCCTAATGTCTCTGGGGAAGAACAGACCAAATAAAAAGAGAGCATCATTCTCAGTTTTGTTAGCTCAGTTTCAGTACTGGTCTGACCATAGTATTTATGGATAGATGAGGATTAAGTTTGGAAAGAAAAGTGTGATTTTTGGATATCATAGTGACAGAAGTTTGCTTCCAGGGGAATAAGATCATATTCCTATCTACTTTTTTCTTTCATCAGCAGAATATCTGATTGGAGAAATATTTTCCTTCAACTTTCCGTACAAATAGTGTAGAATAAAATTTTCCATTATTATATTTTTTCCCCCCATTGGTTAATAGGCCCTGTCTTCTCTCACTGATGAAATGAATAGTGGGACACGTAGTTGTTTGCTCAGCCATGTCCTTTTTTGTTGTTTCACATGCTCACCTCATGTTTACCCAGCTTTTATGGCTACATCCTCTCTCTCTCTGGCAGCTAGACTTCCTGGGGCACACACTATCTCACTTTACCATCTGCAGCACAGGGAGCCTGGGGGTGCTCAGTTCCTCTTTGGACAGGAGTAAAAATACACAAACCAGTGGTTGCTCTTCTTCCTCACATCACATGGCTGCATTTTCTTTACAGCCCCCTACTACTGGGACTGTTCAATGTCAGCAGTTGTTTCCTTGATAAGCGTTTTGTTTCAAGAGCAAAAAAACAATGGGATCTTCAGAGGGATTCAAGGACCAGAAGAGCTCCATGAATCTTCTTAAGAGAATGCATAATTTCAGGCAAACAATAACGTGTCCCATAGTTTGTCCAGGAACAAAGTTCTCATTAAAGCTGTTTTTGTTTGGTGTCCACAATGCTGCTTGGTTTGGCTGCCCCTTTGGGGTGATGCACTCTTCTGTGAGAGTACAAAAAGGCTGTTCAGCATCTGCCAGTTTTAGAGGCCGGGGGTTGTGAGGATCTTCCGCTGAAGATTTTCTGCTGGACTCGTTCCATATTGTGTCACAACGAGGTGGAATTCCCTGAATGCTGCAGATTGTCCCCTGGATTTGCAGGGAGAGATTTCTTGTAATAAGTTACTACTCTAGGCAAGTGGTGCATCTTCTGCCTACATCTGCAGTGTGGGGAGGTGGTGGTAAATGTTGTGTGTTGCAAAGAAATCGGAGGGAGAGAGGCAAGGGGAGAGCAAGATCCAAAAGTGGGGACAGGATGGCAGTGAATATAGTGAGACTGCTTTTGGCAGCAGCACACAGTCATCTTCTGGTCACCAAGAGCTCAGGGGGTCCCCAGATCATGAAATCCAGGCTTGAAGTGCTGGTGAGTGTGAGCACTTGGAGAACAGCATCAGCAGTTACCACAGTGCTGGGAGCAGGGTGGAGACAGAGACCTCTCTAAATGTGAGAGAAGACCATGTGCTGTCATTCTGGAGAGTACAAAGTTTCTCTCCCAGCAACATCCAGGTCAGAATGCTGGGCTCTTACAGCACTGAAACCCTGAATTTCTATTCCATAGCAAAGTTTTATATTTTTTTTTTTTTAAGAATGGGAACCAAAACAAAAGAGTATTCACTGTTTTTAGATATTTTTTTTTTTTTTAAGGAATGGTTTGGGCCCATTATGGTAAAATTCTGTTCCAGCTGAACTTTTCATATTATCCCTGTATCAAATGAACATAGTATAAAATTATATATAAAATAACATCCCATGTATACAGATGGTTTGTTTAATTAATAGGAGGGTGTAATTTGTTTTGTCTTAACTTTTCTAACCACAGAAGAATTTAGAGCTTTCAGTCACAAAAACCAGAATATAGCCAAAACTATCCAGACAGGAAAGTGTTAGTGTGTGAGACAGCATATTTCTTCAGACACCTCTGGAGATACACTGTGCCTCATGCTTAATATCTGTCCATGTTCTCAGTTCTTTCAATCAGGAATCAAATATATTGATGTGGCAGCTTAGCCCTGAACAAACAACTACCATAAAAAATTGCAGATTCCATATCTAATTATTTTTTACCTAGTGAATGAAAAAAGTGTAAACACTTCTCATAACAGCAGTTTGACCTTCCTGTTTTTGTGTGTAATTTACATGTTATCCCCTTCCCTGCAGGACTTTATTTCCACCTGCCATTGAGAGACAGTCCAGTTCAGCAGTGTACTTCCAGCAAAAACATAAATCTTAAGCAGGCTGGTTTTATCAGATTTAGCAGATCGGTATCCTGAGTTCTTTAGTCAATATTAATTTCAAACTTTTAGCTCAGAATGTATTTTTCTTTCATAGTGTTGAGCTAGTGTCCACTTAAACTAGCCAAAAGGCCAAAACTTGTACACGAACTTCATCTGTTATAGAAGCTCTTCCAAATAAAACAACAATTTGACGTGTTTGTACTGCCAACTTGGAGAGAAAAAACCCCAGTTTGTCAAAACAATTATATTTTTATGTAGCCACAAGAGCACTCATTCAGTTCATATGATACTACACTGCCAAAGAGAGCTCCGGCTTTCTCTGAGAAGCAAACCATGAAGGACTAACAGAGCAGACCTGTTATTTGTCAATAGGTGGATCCTGTTTTTATCCTCTTACTTTTCCCAGACAGTGACAAATTTCTGACAAGGGGAACAGGTATCTCTCTTCTGTTCTCCATCTCCCACAGCTGACATGGACAGATGGAGTAGGTTGCCACAGTTTTTTGCCTTTGCCTGCCTTTCTCCTCTCCTTTTGCTTCACAATGTTGGTGATTTTCTTGTGGTTTTCACCTTGGTATCATCGTTGCACTAAAGTCCTGAGTAAACTGGGGAGTTTTCTTGTTCAGGTCACTGAGAACACAATTATTGTATTGAAGGGCACAAGGGCAGGTATTACCAGGCCTTTCCTTCTCCCGTGAATCCATGCCAGCTCGTAACTAAGGGGATTTGTATCTGAACTGTCTTCAGACTCCCAATCTCCTTGATTCCCTTCAACAAAATAAGCTCTTCCTTTCCGAAATAGGTTCTGCTTGTTGACTTCAGATCAATCAGACAGCAACAAAATGAGGTGACTCTAGATTTTGTTTCTCACATGTAACTAGCCTTCTTTTTTTTGTCTCTGCAGATCCCTGTCGGTACTGAGATCAAAGGGATGAACATCCTGGGACTGGTGCTGTTTGCTCTGGTTTTAGGAGTGGCACTGAAAAAGCTTGGCCAGGAGGGGGAAGATCTGATTCGCTTCTTTAACTCATTCAATGAGGCAACAATGGTCTTGGTTACCTGGATAATGTGGTAAGTGTGTGACTGCAAATGCATCTGCACTGCAGTGTTATGCTCAGGTCAGAAAACTCACATTTTCTCTCTCTTCCAGCTTTTTACTGTGAGATCCCTCATCCCAGCAAAAGTGAATGTTGTGGTGTCACACAATGGGGTCTTTTCTCCTTGCTTGTACCCTGTAATGAGACAGTCACAGATAGCTTAAGGTATCAGGCTGGAAAACTTAAAAGGGTTGCCTGTAAGTCCTCTCCAGAACTCCTTTTTGATTATTTAGGGGAAAGAAAACTCAGTATTTCCTAAGGCTGATTTTTTTTTTCTCCTGCCTATTAATAAGCAAATACATTATTTCACTTAATTCCTTGGAGTCTAGAAAAGTTTATGGGATGAATATTGCTCTTATCAATCCCACAAAGCTTTTGATGCCAAAAAAAGTCTGTTAGGAACTGGAGCACACTGGACTTAATCATTAGGCAAGAAACCAGAGTTGAAGGAGGCAGGAACCTCTAGAGAGTGGTTCAAGTCGCCTAAGCTGGGGTAGGAGCAGCCATCTGGCTGGGTTTTCCATCAGGTGGGATGAACCTGGGCCTCAGAGCAGTATCAAGGCTGTCCTTGGGTAGCTGTACTGAATTAGGCTGTTCCTGTGAAACCAACAGTAATAACATCTCACATGCAAAATAAAAAATATTCATAAAGATAGCTAGCAAACAAATTAACAGCAGGACGTTCCTCACTCCCTTTCCAAAGCTGGTGAAAAAGCTGTAAGTTTACCTTAGCAGAGGTAAGGTATTTTTTTCTTCTTTCATTCTGCATTCTTCATTCCTCCTGTTTTCCTTTCTCTAAGAAGTAGAAGGGTTTTAACAAAACACCTGATTTTACACAGGCAGAGCTCTGTGTTAGCTGCTATCATAAGGCATTGAAAAATTCAGTCTCCAAGCCGCTTAAGCTTTTTGCTCTTGAGTGTAATTCCTTGGACACTGAATACTGATAAGAGGCAGTTAATGTGTTCAGCTTATTACAGTGCTAGCACTTCAAGCCAATCAGTTGGTATGTAATCCTTTATTTTGTGGATTATAAGGACCACTGCTGACCCTTAACAGTGAAGCCCTTACTTGTTCTCTTTCCTTCCTTAAGGCTCTTGTGTAGTCCAGTATTTATTCAAAATCTGTCAAGCTGTATGTGCTTCCCAAGGGATACTTTGGAATGGTGAAATCATACTACCTGGAGCAAAGGCAGCTTGAGCTCATATCTGATCCTGTTCAAGAGCCACTCTCGTGCTTAGCAGCACTTCGGTCTCAACTTTCAGTTCTTTCCTCTCCAGCCTCCCTCTTCAAGGGGAGGAATTCAGTGTTCACAGCTTGTGCAGGACAGGGCTCAGCTGGATCTGGTTAATCAGGGTCCTCAGAAACACAGTTCAAAGGCAGAATTGCAGGGACTAAGTAGAGAATGTTCCACAGGACTCCCTAGAGATTTGGCCAAGGGAGGAGAGAGGATGCTCACATGGATCTAGGACATAGGGAAGTGCTCTCTGCATGGAACAGGGGAGCTGCAGAAACACTGAGGGACAGGCAGGCCTGGAAGAAGTGAGTGATCTGAGCAGCCTTAAGGCTTTCCCACCTTTCCAGACCTTTGCATGACCTTCTGAAGTTTGTCCTGACTCCATAAATCAGCTTCTCTGAGCATGGACATTGGATTTTTTATTCCTGAGATGTACAGGCAAATCTTTTGTAGCCACATGTTTTCCTGGGGCAGGATTTTGGGGAGCTGGGTGATCTTCTAGTATTTCTTAATCTTAGAAGCAGAAAGGGATGGAGCATGGACAGCATCAGCAGAGGTACTCGGACATAAACATCCCAGTAGAACTTAGGAAGGAGCTGGCCCTGGGCCTGCAGTGTTTGACACAGTTTGTTTAGAGCTGCTGTGCTGTTGGTTCGAGGGCAGTTCAGTCTTTTCAGGGCTGATCCCAGCTGCACTACTGGGACCAGAGGTGTGGCTGTGGCCCTGCAGATGGCCCTTCCCCTGGAGCAGCTCCAGGTACTCTTGACAAAGCAAATCTCAAACAAATGCTGACGTGGCATGTTTCTAGATGGGAGGCATGGATGTGTGTGAGTGCCTGGTTGTTGGCTTGGGGGAAGCTCTGGAAGCCTGATCATTTAACTTATCCCTTTTTAGGCAAATAGCAGAGTTAATTGCTGTCTTTGGCACATGCATCAGCAGCCTTTAGCTGAGCTCTCTGGTATGTGCACAGCTTTTTCTTAACCTCTACTAAGCTGGCTCCCAGCGTGTCTGTGATTTTGATGACCTGACTCTGTACTCCTTTGGGAGTTTCTTCATATGTAAGACCCAACTCTTTCACACCTCTCTACTACAGTGATGTAATGCTTCCCTCCCCTTCCCTCCCTTCCCCACTGGTGTCTTGTCCTGGTAGCTCCAGGCAGCATTTCTGCTTCCCACTCACCTTTCCTTTGGCACTCTTCTAGCTGTGTCTCTGAGAGCATAAGTGAGCAAACCTTTTAAATTTTGGCTGCTTATCATCCACCAAACAAGAGTCTTAGAGAAAAGCCTTCCAAATTTGGCTATCATGAGCTTGTGGTGGATAAGGAACCACCTTTCAGTAGGAGCATCAGATTCTTAAGTGGAGCGTTATCTCCGGGAAGGAAAATGTTGTGTTTTCCAAGGCTTCTTGTTTGTACTTAATGACAACCAATATTTCATTTCCACAGGTATGTACCTATTGGCATTATGTTCCTTGTTGGGAGCAAGATTGTGGAAATGGAAGATATTGTGCTTCTGGTGACCAGTCTGGGAAAATACATCTTCGCCTCTATCCTGGGCCATGTCATCCATGGAGGAATCATTCTGCCGCTTATTTATTTTGCAGCCACACGGCAAAATCCATATCGTTTTCTCTTAGGACTTATCACACCACTTGCCACTGCCTTTGCCACTTGCTCCAGGTGGGTTTCTGTGCCACTTCTGGGATTATAGCCTGGTTATGTTTGTCACTGGCTTTATCCAGTTTTAGGTTTAGGTGTGAATATTGTTCTTGAGGTTGCAAAAAGAGTTTTCTGAGCATAGTCTTACTACTGTCATCAGCCTGCCACACAGCACATTGCTGTTGAAAAGAATTCCTCAAAATGCTGGGGCCATAGCATGATGCTCAGTTGGAAATATTATTGTCTTTAAATGATCCTGCCAGCTGTCCTTTCAGTTTGAAGTAAAGTAAGGGTCAGCAGTGAGGGACTTGTCCTCAGAAGTTTACTTTTGAAGTTCAGAAGGAGCTGGAACAAATTTAGACTAATTTTGTAGGAGCAAAGCAGACTTGCTTTCTAGTGTAAAGGCATTAGTATGTATTTCAAAGATCTGGCCTGATCAGGTTTTATTTTTCATAACCAAATGATTGAGCACGTCATTTACACTTTTCTCAAGTACAAACATCTGATCAAATAACATATCTATAACACCTGAACAAATAACATCTCTATATAAAATCATTAAATTCATGGAAAATCATTTTCATCATCTCTAAAAGTAGATGCATGTCTGTCAAAGGAGCTGAAATACTATTCATAAATTCTCTCTTTCTGCACAGTAGGAGAGGGTTTATGAGTAAAACCATGTGATTTGTAGTGCCAGAAATAAATCCAAGAGTGATGTTTTATTTTTAATTATTTTTCTCTTCATTTGAGGTCCTAATACAGCATTAATAGAGATTGCTGTTGCATCTGTTGTGTTTATATTATCATAGAATAATAGAATGGTTTGGGTTGGAAGGAACTTTAAAGATCATCTAGTTCCAACCTCCCCTGCTATATTTGCATCTGTTATTGTATTTTTGTAGTTTGAGACTTGTTCATTCCACAGCCTTGTAATGCTGCATACTGTGTTTGAGTCATGAGTTGTAGCTCCTGGGAGATTAAAGTCCTTATCAGCTATTTCTGGATGAAAGCAGATTATTAAATACCTCTGCTCAAAACTCAACGTGGAGGGTCCCTCATTGTCATCATATAAAACTATAAAATGGCATTGTTGTCTTGACAGTCCTGTCTGCAGCATGCTAGAAACATGAAAGCCATGAGACAGTGCTGGGGCATTCAGAACACCCTGGTGCTCTGTGTTTCATTTCTCCCTGTTCTGTTTCCAGCTCAGCCACACTCCCGTCCATGATCAAGTGTATTGAGGAGAACAACGGAGTCGACAAGAGGATCAGCAGGTTTATCCTTCCCATTGGGGCCACTGTAAACATGGATGGTGCTGCTATTTTCCAGTGCATGGCAGCTGTGTTTATTGCTCAGCTGAACAATGTCGACCTCAACCCTGGGCAGATCTTCACAATTCTGTAAGTTGCTTGCAACCACATCCTTCTGGCCCCCAGACACATTCAAGCTGTGGTCTCTCCATTAATAACTAACAGTTAGCATTCCAGATCTCTGATCTAAAGCTTACAAACTGCTATGTAACATAATTATAGGGTGATTAAAGGATGGAGTCTTTAAACCTTTACAAGATTTGCCAAGAGTCTCAATTTAATAAAAGATGGAACCTGGGAGGGGTAATTGAATTCTGAAACAGTCTTTGAGCTGTTTAAAGCTCTTTTTCACATGAAATTCCTCTCCTTCCTTAAGCATCTCACTCCTCCATCCTCCAGTCACCATTAGGCTGGGTAATTGAGGCATTCTGTGCTGCCCAGAAAGCAACCCCTGATTCACCCTCTGGATGTCTTAGAAAATTCTCCTGCCAGCTCCTTGGTTCTTTATGCATCTATTTCGTACTAAAGACTCTGTTCCTGCTCACCTCTGTCCTTCCTACCATCACATTGCTGGCTTTCCTGATCAGATCTCTTGTTGTTCCCCTCCTAACTGCTTTGCTCCATTATCCCTTCCACCACCTCATTCCTACCTCCTTCTCTAAGACTCTCTCCCCTCTATGCTTGGAATATCCTTTTCTGTCCCATATCCCATGAACTGTTTTTATCTTCATTTCTCTCCTCAAAATCCCTTAAATTAAGATGCTACAAGCAGTTCTCCTCACTGGAGTGGCTCCTCACTGTGCCCAGCAGCCACAGCTGTGTCCACCAGATGCTTCCTAGGGCTGATTCCTGGCATTTTTTAACCCTGCCTGGCCAGGTTTTATTTCCTTCTTGATTGTGTTTCCCAGTATGTCTGTTTAAGGCAGGGCTGAGGCATTGAGGTTTTTTTGATAGGTAGCCAAATTAGCTTTTCAGGTACTCTCAGTGAATCAGGTGTGAAGGTAGGTCTGAGGATGATGCAGTGATAGCCCGAGAAAAGCTCAGTTGCAGACACCTGCACACAAAAAGGTGGGTTGAGGACATGCACTGCAGGTTTCCAGCACCTGACTTAGGGTCTGTGTTGGGATGCAAACAAGACCCAGAGAAGGTGCTGTGCCCTGCATGGCAGAGTTTGCCTTTATACATGTGGGGTCAGGAGGTGTAAGTCACTCAGCCTACTGGAGCTGGGAATGTTAGTAAGGCAGCAGGATCCAGTTGTGTTGGTTGTTTCTTATCCTGAAAAGGCAGTCCTGGTGTTGAACCCAGAGCCATTGCCACGGTAACTGCTGCGGATCCCTGCTGAGCCCCTGTCCTCTGTACCCTTTGCATCAGCAGGCAGGAAAAGGTTTGCCTGGGAAGCAAATGCTCCATGTGTCCCATGCTGGAGTGTTTGTTTGCAATTCCCATGGTGGGGAAGCACGTGACAGAGTGCAGCAGGGAGCTGGGAGCTCCTCTAACCAGGCATGGACGTTGATTTGCAGCGTGACGGCCACGGCGTCCAGCGTGGGAGCGGCTGGAGTCCCTGCCGGAGGCGTCCTCACCATCGCCATCATCCTGGAGGCCATCGGGCTGCCCACCAACGACCTGTCCCTCATCCTGGCTGTGGACTGGATTGTGTGAGTACTGCAGGCCTCAAATACCTGCTGTTGCAAGGCACAGAAACATGGAATTACAGAATGCCTAAGGCTGGAAAAAAACATTCAGATTGTCAAGTCCAGTGTGGCACCACCACCATGCTCACCATTAAGCCAACGTCATGGGGGCTCTACCACTTCCCTAGGCAGTCTGTTCAAATGCTTTACAATCCTTTCCATGGAAAATGTTTTTATAATATCCAATCTAAACCTCCCCTGGTGCAACTTGAGGCAGTTTCTTCCACTTGTTATGTGGACATCTACCTCACTGCAGCATCCTTGTAGCATGTTTAGCTGGAAACATGGTGAACAGACAGATATGACCCAGTATAAAATAAAACCCAGTAGAAAATAAGACCCTCTAAGATGTCTGTCTACAGGACAGGTAACTCTTAATGGGGAATGATAAAGGTGGTGTCTTCCCAGTTAAAGCAGTCAGTATGCTAAAATCCTTCTTCAGCTTTTTTTATTCAGCCTTTGTAGAAATGTATTTCTTCTTGGCTTCAATTCCCATCAGAACAGTTGTTAAAAGTCAGTTTAGAAGATATTGATATTGCTGGAAATTAATTGGCCAGTAGAAGGGCAGAGGAAGACAAAGGACTTTGACTCTTGAATATCAGTTGTGGAAAGTTTCGTTGGTCACATGTGGGAAGCAGTTTCCATCAGAAGCTCTTGTCAGCTATTGTTTGATTTCTTATATAGTTTCAAGATTGATGAAAGCACTAAAACAGATGTCATAGAGGGGTGCTGTCCATTGGCAGGGCAGGAGCATGGAGGATTTGTGGCACTTGTCACTGCTGTGACCGATGTTGTGGCTGGAACATGCTGCTGAGAGCCACAAGTTTAGTAGACAGTATTACCACCTTTCCTTTTTGTCTTCTGGGAAAGAAGTAAGAGGTCAGATTGGGTCAAGTGAATCCTGCTTAGGTAATTTGTTTCCAGTTGATGGGTTACTGGGCAGTTCCTGGTTTAAACTGCACTTAATCCCTCGGCATTGCTTTTTGGAAACATCAGCCTCTGTATAGATGGTGGATTCCCACAGCAGATATGGAAATAAGGATGCCTGAGGATACCCTTGAATTTCAGAGACTGGAGAAGGTGACAGCTGTATTACTTTCCCTTCCCATACAGCATGTGTCTGTGGAACATATTCCTACAGCTTCCTTAGGGTCATCACACTTCTTCTTACTGTAACCTCCTGGGGATCAGCCACCTCCAGAGGACAGGAGATACTGGCAAAGCAGTGGCTAGCCCTTTTTATCTTGTCTTTCTAAGGAAGTACAGTAGTGGCTGGGCATTCCACAGCAGTACTTGCAAGTGCTTTGAGGCAAGAGTGAAACAAGAGTGAAAAACATGCCCTTCCTTTCATTTGGGCTGCTCTCAGCCTATGTTGTGCTGGTTGCCTTCCTTCTAAAATAGGTAGCATCCCTCTGTGGTCAACAGTTTCTAGTCAAGGAGCTCAGCCTTGTGGTAACAAAAGGGGGAAGGAGTCCCGTGTCTTGCTTTAATGACAGCTGTTTAATTACCAGAGAGGACCACAACTACAAGTTGAGCCTCTGTTAAAGTTAGGCTGCAGAATGACTAGCAAGTCTCAAAAGCCACATAAAAACATTGTTCATTTTTATGACCCATAAATCTCTTCCATTACCCCTGGCACACTAGTTTTGTATTGTAGGACCAAAAATTAGGGCAGGTGCTATGGGCAACGAATGCAGACAACACAAGTCATTCTACCTCCTTTTGGAAGGATCCCTTAAGTAGGTGCTTGGATTAAGATACCAGTCACAGTAGTTAAAAAAGAGAGCTGGGTGCTCTGAGTCACTTTCTGGATAAGCCTGAAGTAAGTTCCTGCTCTGAACATGCATTTGAAAAATGCTGGCCTGGAGAAAGGGAAGAGGAAGGAGATAACTTGTGAAAAGGAGGATGCCTGAGAAAGAGTTGTACCATTGCTGCAACCCACAGAGAGACCAGAACCAGCTGATAGTAACAGACCGTAGACAGACCTTAAACCTGCTCTGGCACACATTTTTAGTTCTGAAATAGTGATGAGACTTTTGTGGAAAACACCTGTGATAACTACATCTCCCTTGTCTAGCTCCACTAATGTTAGTGGTTCAGCAGGGGTGAATCAGCCCCCCTTACTATGTTGTAACTCTCTTAAAACTAAAAGCCTGCTGCTTTGGTTTTTGTTTCTGATCTTCACCAGGGACCGAACCACCACAGTTGTCAATGTGGAAGGGGATGCCCTGGGAGCGGGCATCCTTAATTACCTGAACGAAAAAGACAAGAAAGAGAGAGAGCAGGAGCTAAAGGAAGTCACCGTAGAAGCAGTTGCTAACAGCAAGTCTGAAGCGGAAACGTCACCTTTGGTAACCCACAAAAACCCAGTCTCCAACACAAGCAGCACAGCAGACCCTGAATCCAAGGAATCAGTATTGTGAACTCGAGGCCGCTCGTCAAGACCAGTCCTAAAAGTGGCCCAGGGACTTACCAACGCACCCAGACGTTTGCAGTGCGACCAGGGGCTGGATGGCTCTTGGAAGTGCTCAGTTCCAGTCTGTTTTGAAATATGCTGGCCTGGGGAAGGGGAGGGAGGTGGGGTGGACAGAGAAGGGGTTCTGAGAAGAAACACTCGCTTTATAATAATATTTTGATAGTTTGTGTGTGTACATGTATACGTGTTGCGCGTGCACACTTGTGTACATGTATGTGAGAACTGCCATTGAGGCTTCTGGTGTAACAAGACTTCCATTAGTGATGGCTCAGATGGGTTGAAGGTAGGAAGGTAGACATACCCAGTATGTGCTTATTGTAGGGAAAAATTAGTAAGCTTATTTTTGCTGCTGTTTGAATGGAGAAGCAGTCTAGAAACTCCAGAGTGGGTAAAAATGTTGCTTAAATTTGTTTTCTAGCCTGGAAACACTGACCATTACAGCCATGATATGAAGCAACATTTTTCTCCCACTCCCCTTCCTCTCATGTTCTCTGATCCATTAAAAACATTGAACATGTCCTTAAAACCAGCTGTTTTCTATTTTTAATGGGGTTTTTTTTTTGTTTCATACCTAAATTAATAGCTTATAGGGACCTGTTTCATTCTCCCATTTCATTGCAGCTCATAGCAGCTTTCCTACCTTTTGATGAATAACTCCCAAACTGTGGGACCAAACAGAGATGTTCATGCAGATCAAGGATTGGTTTCCTCCTTTCCTCTAACCAAGCTGTTAAGGAAAAAATCCAGAGGAAGCACTAATTTTGTTCAAGTAAACCCTTTGGGGCTGAAAAAAATGTAGAGTCTGTTCCAGCCTTAGTATGTCTGAAAGAGGTTTGCCTGTGACAACATCCATAAATGCAGACGTCAGTTCCCTTCATGAAAACACATGATCCTCTGTTAGCACACCCTGTCTTGTTCATGTTTATTTAATGGGTCTATCCAAACAGTTTTAGTCATACTCTCTTCCAGCTAAATTGAATAGGGGAGGAAAAATTCTGAACACACATCATGTGGAAACTAATGACGGGCAAGTCTGAGTCTTGGCTTGAAAAGGGAAGAGAAGAGGTGAGTTTATAATCCCAGTGATCTCTGTGTGGGAGCTGGCTACCTGTTCCTGCTAGGAGTTTAGTCCTGCCATAAATGTTCTTCTGGCAGCAATTTACTTTTAGTAGTTGTGGGTAGTGCTGAGCCGGGTTAATGCTTTAATGGCAGATGGTAACCTTTGCTTAAGGCTCAGACACATGCTTCTGGATTCTTATTCCTCCTTTTTTGCCTTTACAGTGTCCTTGAATTTACATCCCAAATCTGAATAGAGTCTGGCAAACTCATTGCAAAGATCCTGTTGATTTATATTGGCTCTTTGGATGCTACTAGTTAAAAAATTATGACTGCACAGGCCAAGATTTGCTTGGACTTGTGCTGTTTTCCCTTGGCTACTTCAACAAGAGATTGCATATGGTCCATCTCCACACTTAATTCAACAATATATATTTACTCTTAGCTTTGATATAAAGTAATGCTAAAGTCTCCTTTTTCTTGCTCCTGTCTTGCTTCAGAGGAATCTGTCTTGGAAAGATATCAGCACTAGGAAGAGGCAATTCCAATTGCATAGCAGCAAACCTTCCTTTGCAAAGCATCCCTTCTGGTAAAGGGACACAATGAATTTTGCAGAAAGATGCTCAGAGATGTGTCCACCCCTGAAGGAGAGTGCAGTGAGTGCATCATGACTGGCTGTGCACTGGAGCCATGCAGACAATCCAAGTAGGAAAGGATTAGTCAGCCCACTGGGAAACTGCAGGTGGAGTTTCTTTTTAACCAGTTTATTTTTAATCATGTCCACAAAATGTGGTCATTCCTTGGCTTACCTTCAAAATGGAAGGAGACAAACACAATTCTGTAGGGATGTCTTTTGCCCAACAGATCAACTTTGCATTTCTTCCTGTTAGAATCATCCCGACTCCTTTCAACTCAGGAAACCAAAAGCACATTTTTAAGTCTAAATATCTCTTTGAAATATCTAAATGCACCAAAACACCAGGTACTTTGATTTTAAAATAGTATATGGATGTCTCAAGGAAGCTGAAAATCCTGACTGTCCCCTGTGGGCTGTGTTCTGTAGTTGGATTTTATCCCTCATCAGATGTTTAGCTCCTGTGCTTTTGTGAGACCCCCTGGAATACTATCTACAGTTCCGGTGTTCCCGGCGTAAGGACATGGAACTGTTGGAGCAAGTCCAGAGGAGGGCCACGAAGAGGATGGGACCACATCCACTGCAAATGCAGGCTGACAGAGTGGGGGCTGTTCAGCCCAGAGAAGAGAAGGTTGCACTGCAACCTTCCAGTATCTGAAGGGACCTACAGGGAAGCCAGAGAGGGGCTTTATCAAGAACTGTAGTGATGGGACAAAGAGCAGTGGGTACAAACTAAGAGATGAAATTTAGGCTAGATATTAATTTTTTTTTTACTGTGGGGGTGGTGAGACACTGGAACAGGCTGCCCAGGGAGGTTGTGGATACCCCAACCCTGACAGTGTTCAAAGCCAGGCTGGATAAGGCCTTGAGTAACCTGGTCTGTCCCTGCACATGTCAGGGGGATTGGAACCGAGTGATATTTAAAGTACTTTCCAACCCCTCAACCTTCTGTGGTTCTGTGATTCTCTCCCTCGCTGTGACACATGCAGCTAGGATCAGGACTTGAGGGCAGCACTAAAATAACAATTCATGAAGCATCACAGCACCATTTCAGAGAAGAACAAATCTAAACTTTTATTTTTTTATTTTTTTTACCCACAGGTAAAAGCACTGCCCTGGGCAAACCCAAAGGCTGGGCTTCCTTGCAAGGCAGCACTTTGGCATTGCCGTATGATCCTTCTTCCCTTTGGTGCTGCAGCCAGAGCGTGCCTTTTCCTTGTAGCAGCATCCTATAGGCTGTGGCACATTGTTCCTGACAGGGGATCCCAGGAAATGGAAAATTAAAGCAAATACCCCAGTATTGGTATTTTCCAATAGCAGTGCAAAAGCTCAGAGTCTTCACTGAACACTTCTCCAGTCCCCACTAGTGGATTGCCATGTTTTGCATCAATGTGAATGTCTAGTCCCAGGTAAAGCTTGTTAGAGCAGTTGGATTTAAGGAGGTCTGATCATTCTCATAGCAGGAATTTAATCAAGGAAATCTGACATTCCTTCTCTTGGAAACAGATATCATAGGATTTATATGAACCATGAGTATTCAGCTCTTAACCTGCCAGAAATCTGTAGTCTTACAGAAGCTCTACTTTAGACTTAAAAATATGCCAGTTCTTTTGTTGTTTGTGCAGAACAAGAGGGATCTATGGAAGCAGGGTGCTGCTTGTCAGAATATCTTGTTGGCCATTTTTTTTATCATTTGTGTCAGAATTTACATTTCTTATTTTTTTTGTGTTGTTCCCATTCCTCACAATAGCTGTGATGCATTCTAGAACTCTCTACCTGGATTTTTTTCTTAAGGAAGGAATATGAGAGATCCAATGTTGCCCTCTTTCTTTCAGACTGTGAAAAATGACACATTCCAACAACTGCCACTGTAACAATGTGCATCCTAGTGGAAAGCCTGATGAAATAGAAGACTTGCCATTTGCTTTAAATGGTCAGGGTCTTCAAGAAAGGCCACTGAGAGAAAAATGAGAGGGCAGTTGAGGAATATGCATTTGAGATGCTGTTCTTGACCTGCAGTGTAAATGTGTTACACTGGGAGCTTCCTGTTCCAGGAGGCTATGAGCTGAAAAGACTCCAGGAGCCTTGCAGGTGCAGCCAGGGGTACCTGCTCTGCTCTGCTCTTAGCCAGGCACTCCACAAATCTGTTGCCGAGTGTGGTACTTTACTCCAGTGTCTCTTGACTGGACATACATTTCTGTTCTCCTGACACAGGAAAGAAGTTCCTCTTAAATAGAAGAAATACAAAACACTACTTTTCTATTTGATTTTAGGTTGGATTTTTCGTTGTTTTTGTCTTTTTTCTGGAAGGAACAAGTTCTCTCCTCAGCTCACGTCCTACCCTCTTTTGAGAGAAAGACACAGAAATCCCATGGTATGTTTCTTGGGGTGTCCTGTGCAAGGCCAGGAGTTAGACTCGATGATCCGCATGGGTCTCTTCCAACTCAGTGGATTCTACGTTTCTATGAAATATTGAAGAGTTTGCAAGCCTTTTTTCAGTGAAGTTTCTTTGACCATTTTGAACCATCTTTTATTTCTTCTGTAGGAATGACATTTCACTCCATGCTTCATCACTGCTTGATGTCATCCTGTTTCCTGGAATACTCTATGCTCTTTATGTTTCAGTGCCTCAGGAATAAATGGAAGAGTGCAGAGAGTTTTGAGAGCTCAATTTTGCATTCTGCCTTGCTCCTGTCCTGAACTCAGCAGAGGTTCGTGAGCCTTGGTAATTCAGAGTTGCTCTGAGAGTGCAGAGCAATATCTGTCACTCCCATTGAGAAAGGTGCGTGTTCTGTGCTTTGAGATGTGGCTGTAGCCTGAAAAACTGTAGTGGGCAGTGGAAGGTGCCAGGACTTGACTCTTCTTGGGTATTTTCAGTAAAGATCTTGTATTCCTACAAGCTTTAGCTGAGTCTTGGTGTTGGTAATTGCACTACAGGACTTGGTAATTGCAAAGAACTTCAAACTCTTCTGGGGACGTCCCTTGCAGTCAGGATGGCTTTTGTGTTGAGAATGGGCTAGAGCCAATCCCAGGGCTTCCCCTGCTGGGATGTGACAAACAGGACTGTGTCCTTCGGATATCAGAGATGTGGAGCCAGCCAAAGTACCACATCAATTGGTGAAACAATCTCTGCTTTGTCTTTTCTGGTTAGTCCTGAGGAGGCGATGGCCCTGAGCTAGAGATGGTGAGAGATTGGAGAGGAGGGTGTGAGGGGTAGGAAGGTTTTCCTGGTGCTTGCTCTGTTCCCATACTCTTCCCTGGGCATTTGCTGTGGCTGGTGCCAGATGTGGACATGACCCAGTGTCACCATTCCTATTCTCCTGTGGTTCCTCTTTATCTTGCAGCAAGAACAATGAAATCTGAGGTATTTAGGCAGTTCTTCTTTCAGTCAAGTCAAAGTCCCTGTAATCTCTGTGACTGAGCACCCAGCCACATGTTGTAGGTTGTGTCCTCAAGAGCTTGCAAAAGGGACAAAACCACCACCTCTTCTGCAAACATTTGCAGCATTGGTCAACAGTCCGGGCTAAATCTGCACTCTGGTCCTCTGCTAACACAATGCATTTCTGCAGCCACTGTAAAGGATCATCCTGTTGGAAATGATAATTTTTAATCCTGACCCTCCCCCAGGCAGTGAGCAGTGGGCCTCAGGTACCAAGTCAAAAGACCAACATACAAACTCTCACCAAAGAAAAATTGTCACATCTAGATTGATTTGACAGAGCCTTGGCAGTTCATGATCACAGAGCTGCCTGTAATGACTGATCTGGTGACAGATGAACAGCACAGAATTAGGCAGATTGCATTAGTCCTATACCTGTGCTTCCTTTTCTGTAAATCAAGTTTACAGATATTTACGTGTCTCTCACAGGCCATAGTGTGGAAGATAGTTGCAATGTTTAGAAAGCACTCTTAAGACAGAGCAGTAAAGCTTGAAGAGTAATGAACTTCTCAAAAATCTGAAAGGAATCAAATAATGAAAGTATGCAGAGTTGCATTGTGCTAGAGGAGGAATGACTGATGGAAAGGAGATCAGGTGGATGCATTTTCTGGGTAATTCAGGGGGAGCAGGGGAGCTAGTGTCAGTGTGAGGTGCAGTTCAGAAAATGGATGTGACTTAGTCAAGGACAACACAGTGCCCTGTTCTATCTTCTGCCTCCTTCCATCTCCACCTGCCATGCCATGAAAGCTTAGGCTCAGGTAAATTACCAGACATCACCATGGATTCAACATCTAAACTGGGAGTCTTGACAGCTTAGTTCCTGACTAGTTTCAGTGGGAGAAAGAGCTTTTCAACTCAAAGAACAAGTTGTCTTGTTGTCAGTATGAGTGACAAAGGTGGAGAAAAAGAAGGAAGGGCTGGAAGGCTGCAGGAGCACCGTCACAGAAGACAGGGTAAGCAAGAGGATAAAGAAGCATCTTTCCTTGGCATTTTGATATGGACAGGATCAAAGAGGCTGCAGGCATTTGTCTGGCATGTAGCAGAGACAACGCAAATCCCTGCCTGCTGCTTGGGCGGGATTTGCAGGGAGAGGCAGGAGTGCTGAAGTTTCTGAAGTGCAACAAGGCAGCATACAGAGGGCCAGCGTGGAGCTCTGATAAGCTGCTGCTGGCTGCTGGCCATGACCAGAGGAACAGCAGTACAGTTCTGGATCAGGGATTGACCCACATTCCTCCTTGCAGGATAGCTAGGACAAATGCTCCTCAGATAAATGCATGGAGACCATTATTCTCCGAGGACAAAGACCAACTTGTTATCTGTGGGAGCATATTGATGAAAGCCATGCTCACTTGCTGCTTCAGTTTCTGGCAGGAGGGAAAAGGGTTTGACAAATGATCTAAAACTTTTTCCAGGCATTGGGCAACACATTGAGACAGTTGCCCCTGAATATTTTAACTCTGACAATAAGTGATCAAGAGCCTTATTTGGCTCCCGTAGGTCTTCACATCTGAGCACTGTCTTGGGAAGTTAATGTTAACACAGAATTTGTTCTCTGCATGGGGTCTTTACAGACATTTGTGACCAGCAGGCATCAGTTCACAGCTGCACAAGTGAATGAATACAGAAAAAGGTGAAAGAACTCTCTCTTGAGTCACATGAAAAGTTGCCAAGCTAGCTAGGAGCAGATTCTGAGTCCCAAAGCCAGGTTCATTGTTAGCTAACAATTATCACCTCCTTAAAAAAATCCACATCTGAGGGTTTATAAATATATTTGATTCTGTACGGATTTTAAGAGGAAAAGAAAAAAATCTTTTATTCAAGAGTTCACAGTGTGGTTACTTATCAAATTATATCTCAGTGTCAGCAGATGCATCATCCTTAACAGTTATGAAATCTCATTTGTATTTAACCTCAGATCTTGGTGCCAGCAGGAGGTGAGGACTGTGGACATTTCAACAGGCCAACAGCCCTTATGTAAAACCCTACTCAAGAAACATTTATACTTGTCTCCCAAGGCCACAAATGTTGCTTGCAAGGCAAGCAGGGCTACCAACAGGACCCGGCACGGAGAAATGGATTTTGAGCCAACTCTGTTGTAATGCAAAGTTAATGGTGTGGTTTTAAGCCACAGAGACCAAGAAATTTGGTATTAGATGTTCCTTAGGATAGTTTTCACTTGCTCTTTCTGGTAAAACAACACTGAGAAAGTAATGCTCTTCCTTGCCAAGCATGTATTTAGTAACTGAAACTAAACTGCATATGGCATGTGCGTGCAACTTAATTGTAGTTACATGTTGCAGAAAGAAATGGGAACTCTACTCTCTACTCTCTCTACTCTCAAGGAATTGTTTATACATCTGAATCCCACAGAAAGAGTTGTGCTTAACCATAAAAAAATACTCCAGATATTAACTGGTTTGGATTGTAGCTTTTTAAGAACCAGAAGGAATGCCACTAAAAGGACAGGCAGAGCCTTCACTGATGTGCATTGATGTAATTTCCTGAGCTTTCCATGGTTTCTGGATTTCTGATGGAGATACCTCCATAGCAGCATAGAGGAATGGTCTGGGCCTTTAAAGATGATCATTATCAGCAAAGCAGCAGTAAAGCAATGCTTTTAAAACTTCTTTGCTGTAACTAAAGGTATTTTACTTATTCTTATGATGTGGTGCCTCTAATAAAAAAGCGTTTTCCTAGTGGTTGGTGTTGATGCAGAAGGCAGCTTCCTCGTGTTTTGTTCAGTTTACCTTCTCCATATCCCTCCTGCAGAGACTGTTGTGTTCCTTGGAGTCTGCCCAGATCCCAGCAGGATCAGGCTCCTATAGTACATAGATCAAACTTAAAGATATTCTGGCCCCATGTGAGGACAGGGAGTGTTTCCTGTCCTTTAGGAGGGGACAGAGATGTGGTTTCAGCTTTGGAGAGTGTCTGGACTGAACAGACCCTGCTTCATTAAAGCAATACTTTAATGACATTTTACACTAAATTAGTCAAATAATTATGACCAAGGTGGCCCAGCCATCACTGCCTCCTTGCTCTGCTCCACAGCAGATATTCTGTTGACTTGTCTTCCCTGAAGGCCACTGTGGAGGTGATGTGTTTGCCATCCATGAGAATTCCATTCTTTTAAGAACGCAGTCTTATTTAGACATCCTCAGTTACTATCCTGGCTGCACTCTCGTAAGGTGGTGCTGTATGGGATGGAGACCATGTGTAGCACTGCAAATAGCTGAGCAAACCTCTGCTCCTGAACTGCTTCTTAGTTACAGCAAACTGAGACTGACTCACGCTCCATGAGGGTGAAGACTTTGATTAGATTTTGATTAATCCCTCAGATTCAGGGATAGCAGGACCACCCCTGCACATGAGGAGTCCCCTTCTGCCTTACTGTCCTTAAAGGTGCCTTGTCCTGGTTCTCTTCAGGACAAATTCCAAGTTGCTGTTTGGCTTTCAATATTACTATGCACCAAAGCTGAAAGACTCCATTATCCCTGGAGACAGGAGGGAGAATGTGATGCCCTAGTGTGAGACAAGGAAAATGGTTTTCTTTTCTTTATCCTGTGAGCTCTCTGGCAGCAATCCTGCAGTGTGTATGTGTGTGTGTGCTTTTATTTCTACCTGAACACAAATTGCTCTAATTAGGAGGGAGGATTATTGTATTTTTATATGCTAAACCATTTGATTAATTACTTCAATAAAAAGAAAGATGAACTCTGAAATTCACTGTCATCCACTCCAGTACAATCCAGTATCACTGATACAAAGGTATCTGCCTTCAGGTCAGAACCTTGTGCTTAGAGTAACCACTCCATTGAGGAAGTGTCTGTGCCATGTGGGTGTGTTGATCCTTTTGTGCATCAGTAGCTGTTCCTCTTTTAAAGCTGTGGGTTTCACCCATGTGACTCTGCATCAGCCTTTCTGTTGTCTCCCAAAAACAGATGTACGTGCACATATGCAAAAAAAAGACCATACTGCTGTGTCTGGGGGTGTGTGACCCTGGGGCAGATGTTACAGATGTTTGTTGTGTGCTGTACCCTTTGGAGTAAGAGCTCTCTGCCTACCTGGGGAGCAGCCAGTCCTGTGGCTCGGGTTGGGATGGTTGGCTGTATTAGGAGGGTGACACAATGGGATACTCTTTTTTTTTTCCCTTCTCTCATGGAAATGTATATTTGTTCTCTCTTTGTGTAGCTTCTCAAACTAAAATAAACACCACCCCAAACAGAATCCATGTTTTCATCTTTGTCTGGAGAACACCTGGGCTTTTATTTGGATCAGCCTTGCACAGGCAGTGGGACATCCTGTTCCACCTGAACAGTGGGACCAGGCTGTTCCACCTGAGCAAAGACTCCTTTGGAAATGCCCCTGGATGGGAATTGTGCAGTTTGGTGTTTGGTTCCACTTTCCCAGACCCTGCCCTTTGCTGGCATGCTGGTGTCACTGATTGTCAGCATTTAACCCTTTCCCTGCTGGCATTTCTCCAAGCCCTCTGCACAGGTACTGAGCTCTAAAGGGTCTTTGAGAGAGCCTGGATTGGAGGTTATGCAGTGGTGGGGTGGAAGGGCTGACAGACACACCTGCTGCCCTTCTGCCAAGCCAACTGATTTTGTTCCATGGAGAAGGATTGAGAGTAATCATTAGGAAATGCTTTCCAATAGGCAGCCAGGCTGGTAAGTTCAGGGTAATTTTAGATTTGCCACACAGCCCATCCAAGCAGTGTGCTGGTCTCAGAATTGGGGGCCTGGGTTTGCCATCTAAGTGGGTTTGATACAGCTTTTCCATTAATAGCTTATATATATCCAAAGGGTGGAATCTGTCCTGAGGTGCATACACAAAACTTCACAAATCCAGGGAAAAACATCTAATGTTGTAAGTGTAGATTGGTTAGTTTCAAGCATTAAACTCCCAGAACAAATAAACAAGGGGATAAAATTCACAAGAATTGCAAGCACCAAAAGAAAAGCATAATTTGAAGGATCTGCCTGTTTATGACTTACGAATTGTGACTGGTATTATGCCCTGGAATGTGAATCTTACAAAACCATCAATGTGGTGGTTTCCAAGAAGCCTATCTGACTCCATGGTTGTGTTTTTGGCTTCTCACTTTCTAACTGAACCCCTGAGGAGAAATCTGGAGGAATACTAGAGCAGGGAGATGTCCTCTTGGACCAGAGCCCGGAGATGTTCACATGTCAGCTTTGCATACAGGTTTTCTGAAGTCTTCTGAGGTGGTTGTCAGAGCCATAGTGATTTGCCATTTGAAACCCATGAATCTTTGTGAGATCCATGGAAAAGGTGGAATGATTACTTGTCTTTAATGAGAGCTGAGCTAAGCCTTAGATTGAGTCCCAGCTGCCTCTAGCCAGACATTATTAGCACTTGTTAGGCATTATTATGCATAAAGAGATCCCTGTAATATTTCAACAAAGAGATAAAAGTTGGATAAATTCTAATTAAAGTTTAATTATTTTATTCAGATTTTCTACCACCACCTACAAATCTGGCCACCTACTTTACAACTTCTTTGTTTTGTTGGGGTTTTCTAAGGTTTTTGTTCTTGATTATTTTTTTTTAAGAGGAAAAAAGAGCATTTTTGGGAAAATGCTCCTCACTTCTTCTAAGCTCTAGGCAGGCAACACACATTTCTCTCATTCACATGAAAAACATTTAAAAGTAAATTTATTACAAAAGCCACTGCTATTGTTCTAATTTAATATTTGCAGAGGAAATGCAATTATGGCCAACAAGCAGATTAGTCCTTTTTTTTAATCCCCAGTTTGTCTGATTAAGGTAGATAGAATTATAGGGAAGTGCTTTGTGACTTGAACAGAAGACAATACCATTTGTTCTGCCCTGAAATGAATGGTTTGATTCACACAGGTTGTGTGGTACAGCTGCACTAAGTGGTCACCTTTAAAATGTGTAGGTTTGTTGAAAGTCAGATCTCTGCTATGTCCCCATTATGAGCACTGAAGTACCTTTGAGTCATTGTAGGAGATCTTACAGAGGGGGAATGTGGTATTTATTTACATTTTAAGCTCACTGTAGCCACCTGCACTGGTTCTCTTACAGATTTCATTCATTCTCATGCAACAAGTTCAGTCCAGCCCCAATCACTTGTGTGCAACCATACACCACAAGGGATGATGCCTGTGAATTCTTCACTAAACCTCCCAGTTTTGGGGCAGTTGTTTAATAATCTTTAACAACAGTTAAAGTCAGTAGTTGTTTTGTGATGATCCTTTGCTGCAGTCTCTCTTCCTGCCTGGCTGCAAGGGAGGGAAATGGGAGATGTCTATCCTTCTGCTGTCAGAGATGAAGCTCTCCCTCAAGTGAGTTGTGTGTCCTGTGGTCTTAGCAATAGCTCAAATTATCAGTCCCAAATTTCTTTTTCTGATGTCATTTGTTATAAATTCAAGCTGTTCTTAGCCCCCCAGCTCTGCTATTTCTTCTGGCACTTTCATAAACAGATTTTTATTTGTACTAATCCAAATATTTCTTTTACAAATCTCTGTGCTGATGACTGGTTCCTGCAGATGCCAGCTCTGGTTTTGAAGAGCCTCTTGGTTCTGCTTAGAAGAACATACAAATGACAGAGGGCCAAGACATCCCAGCAATTGGAATGAAAAAGAAGTTGCTCACATTTCCCCACTGGAAGCAGAAGTAAAATCTCACATTTAGTAAATAAATTTAATTCCAATTATTCACTGCCCATTATAATTCACATTGACGAAAAGTTGCCACTGCCTCTTGACCACTTGGCTCCTATTTCTTTCACAGCAACATGTCATCTTCCTCAAAGGCAAAGCATCTGGACCACACCAACTCCATCCCATTCACTGCCTTCTGCTCCACGGCACCTGGCCCTGATCTGCAGCTGTGTGAGTGTTTTAGGGGGCCTGGCTAGAGGTAAGGAGGTGCTGTGAGGGAATACAAACCGCTGGAACCCCCTGTCTTTGTGACTAGGTCTGCTATTGCTGGCGGGCTGGCTGGGCTGTGTTTGTGGTGTGATGGGTACATCGTGCGGCCAGAAAGGAGAAGTGCAGTTCGTGTTTGACCTTTTCCCTGGGCTAAGTCCTGCCACTCGGTCCAGCTGTGCAAACAAGTGGTAAAAGGACTCAAATTGCCCAGCTGCTAGCACTGGACAACACACCCAACTCCACAATTCTATGCTGACGCTAAAATACTTGTCACTCCACTTTTCCCTCTGTTCTTCCTTAATCCTGCCTTTCACATTTCATTTGTCAGCTGCCATGGGTGTGCTTAAGTCGTATTTTAGGTGGTTCTCCAAAGTCAGGAAGAGACAGCAGCAGCTACCTTTTTTAGGGAACATTCAGTAATAGTGCAGTGATGATCTAGAGGAGAGATGGGAAGTGTGTAGTCTTCGGACAAGTCTTCTCATGGCTTTATAAAGAAGCTAAAGCAACGTGGCTGAGCTTGAACCTTCCTATGTAGGCATTATCAGAGCCGCTGTCCAGCTGAATGACTGGATTCCTTGGGAGCCTGCTGTAGTTCCAGGATCATAAGTAGCTGATTGGTGGCTTCAAATGTCAGAACAGTGAAAATCTGCAGGCCCTACCTGGAGAAGAAGGTCTGGGAAAATGGAAAACTGCAGGGCTGAAATTCACAGCAATATCAGAAGAATTGAGAGAGAGCCTGGGAAACAGGGGCTGGAAAGAATTAATCTAGATAAGAGTAATTACCTGCACTCAGACCGCTGGGAAACGGTAGGTGAAGAAGAAGGATCAGGAAGTTATGGGCAGTCAGAAGCAGGAGTCCTGAGCTGTGAATAAGCCAGATCCTGTTCCAGGGTGTGTAACAGGATCACAGCCCAGACTACCATACTGATTCTGCCTAAGTACAGCCAAGCCCATGCCAGAGCTTTGGATCAGTGTTGAGTTTCAAAGAAATGTGGCCCAAAGAATGAGAATGAAGTTAAGAACAAAGAGAATGGTCCAAGATGTGGAAATCCTGACCTCCGGGGAAAGAAAAAGGGTTGTTAGCCATGAGAAGAGAAGGACAAACACCTGCAAACACCTTTCAGAAGGCATAGGCAGACAAAATAGACTCCTGAGCAGTTTGTATGAAAACTAATTAATATTGTTATCAGTTGGGGAACAGATAGGTTTGGTCCAAGCCCTGCATTTGCTGACGTCTCATCCATCCCAAACATTTGGATTGCGAGACTGAAATTTGATGCTGAAGATGGTGCAGATGCTATGCAAGAACATATGGTGCAGCTCCAGGCTTCAGGTTTCATCCCAGAGAGCTGACTGGCTTGTAGTGTGAAACCCTTCAGGGTAGAAAGAAGTAACAAACTGATGTACCAAAGAAACTGGATAAACTGCAGGTCACTGCAGTTAGGGGCATATTAAAACTCTGAATACATGCAGCTGGTGTTGATGATGGATCCAGTTCTGTGTGAAAAACATGCATATTCTCACTGTAAAGGTAACTTCTCATATATCACAAGTACCCTGCTTTCAAATCTGGTCATTGTAAGGAAGCTCTAGTTCATGTCATAGATATGGAGATTACTGCTGAATCGTTGAATCCACAGGTGCCGAGAAATCCATTGTCTAGGCTGGAAAAACCCAAGTGTGAATGAATCCTGAGATCTCAAATCAGCAAGAAAATATCCTTGTTATTCTTTGCCAGCCTTGAGTGACTTTGGGTGGGAGTTTGGCTGGGTTGACCCTGTATTATAGATCAAATAAGCCAGCTTCTCTTCAGCAAAGTTCCTAACAAAAACAGCCAGATGCCAGCAGAAAATCGGTATTGTCCTCCTGAATTTCTTAAATAATCTCTCCTTGAGATCACCAGCTGATTCCCCCTTGTTACACCCACTCAGCCCAAGCCCAAGGGGAGGGGAACAATTTCTCGGTGCTTTGGCTGTTCCTGCAGACATCCTGGCACTTGTTTGATCGGGGGCGGAACAGGACGCAGACCTTTCCTGCCGGGGCCGAGGCCGCAGCCGGGTGCTATTCAGCTCCCAGAACAATGCCTGGCAGCTCCCGAGTAATTTAACCTGGCTAAAAACAGCCCAGCCTGGGGATGAATCATGACCCATCCGTCTTTGCTTCCGCCTTTCCACTCAGAGGCCTGAAATCAGCACGGCCTCTACTGGCAGGCAAGCGGCTCCCTGGAGAATGAGCAATAAACAACATTTTAAAGGGATTTTCTTTCACAAAGGCTTTGCTTGTGTGAATTCAAATAAAAAGAAC